ATTTCTTATGTGCGATTTCTCTCACTTATTCTCTTGCTTTTTTCGCGGTTATTCCTATTCTATTTTTGCCTCTGTCTCTCTCCCTCTCTCTCTCTCTCTCTTGTTTTCCCTCTCAATCTTTCCTCCTCACCTCCCTTCCTCCACCTCTCTCTCGCTCCTTCACTCTTCCTGGCCTCTATCGTTCTTTCTCTTTCTCCTTTACCTTTTTTCTCTCTTCCTCACTCCCCTCCCCCCCTCTCTCTCTCCTTCACCTTCTCATTCTCTCTTCCTCACCTCCCTCATTTCCCCACCTTTCTCTTTCTTACCTCCCTCCCTCTATCTCTCTCTTATCCCTTATCCTCACCCGCCTCTTTCTGTCTCGCTTTCGCTAAAGATCAAGGAGATTATCCGTCTTCCTTTCTCTCCCCCCTCCACCTCTCTCTCCTTCTCTCTTTTTCACCTCCCTCTCTCTGCTTCTCTCTTTCGCTAATGATCGAGGAGATTATCCGTCTTCCTTTCTCTCTCTTTCTCCCTCCCCCACCATCTCTCTCTCCTTCTCTCTTCTTCACCTCCTTTTCTCTGCTTCTCGCTTTCGCTAAAGATCAAGGAGATTATCCATCTTCCTTTCTCTCCCCCCTCCCTCTCTCTTCCTTTCTCTCCTCCCCTCTCTCCCCTCTCTTCTTCCACCTCCCTCTCTCTGTCTCTCTCTTTCGCTAATGATCCACGGGGTTACTGTCTTCCTTACTCTCTCTCTCTCATCCTCCCCCCCCTCTCTCTCCTTCTCTCTTCTTCACCTCCCTCTCTCTGTCTCTCTCTTTCGTTAATGATCCACGGGGTTATCTGTCTTCCTTTCTCCCTCCCCCTCTCTCTCCTTCTCTCTTCTTCACCTCCCTCTCTCTGTCTCTCTCTTTCGTTAATGATCCACGGGGTTATCTGTCTTCCTCAATCTCTCACAATCCGTTTTCATAAAGACGATTTTTCCAAAACGATTTAAAATGTGATCGACTTCGCTATTAATTGACTATCAAGTGACAAATCACGTCCTTAGCCTTTTTTTCTCGTTAAACTTTTTATTTATTTATTTTATTTATTCACTTTTTTTATAATCAAAATATAAAAGATATTTGTTTACGAGGATCAACAAATATCCTGCGATGTTAACCTTCTTTTCAAAATTCCTCTCGATGTAACGTGCAACTTTAATCTTATATTCTTGAGTACGTAAATAAGAATTTTTTTTTTACGTGAACAAATAAGTCTAAAAATTATATATATGAAAAATACTTCTTGCAGCTTAAGATGACGTCATGTATAAACTTTGATGAAAATAATGATAATGAGGATGATTATAATAATAGTGATAATAATGATAATGATAACAACAACAATGATAATATTGATAATTAGAGTCAGGGAAAGAATGACGTCATAGCAGATAAATTCAGGTGTCCTCGCTTACAGCTAAATAGAAAGGTAAAGATATATATATATATATATATATATATAATATATATATATATATATATATATATATAATATATAATATATATATATACACACACACACACACACACACACACACACACACACACACACACACACACACACACACACATATATATATATATATATTATATATATATATATATTATAATATATATATATATATATATATATATATATATATATATATATATATATATATTAATATATATATATATATATATATATATATATATATATATATATATATATATATATTGTGTGGTGTGTGTGTGTGTGTGTGTGTGTGTGTGTGTGTGTGTGTGTGTGTGTGCGTGTGTGTGTGTGTGTGTGTATGCGTGTATCCAAGATACAAGAAGAAAATAGAAAGAAAAGAGAAAAAAAGAAAATGATCTAGTAGTAGTAATTATGTTTGAGAAATTAGACGATAACAAAATAGAACTGATTATGGAGATAAGGAGAGAGAACGTACCAGTATGGGAAAGGCAATAATGATAAATAAATATGAGAACATGGTAACTGAGGATAAGGATATATAGATGCGCATTATTAATGAATATAAGAAAAAAACAGATATAAAAGAAAAAAAAGGAAGATAGACACATCTTACAATAACATTAATGGCATTAATTTTACCATAATTATCTTTTCGTTTCAAAGATTATAATATTTTACTTATAATCTTTCCAAAACTAAGTGATTTATTAGCCTGTCAGATCTCGACTAGTTTCAAGATATCCGTTAAGAAGACTCGTGTCAAATAACAGCCAGAGATATTTTCAAGTGGCCACTTTAACAAACAAATATAACTTTGGTTTGATGGTTTTCTCTTCACCGCCTAACCATGGAGCGTGGAACAAGCTAATTATTGTATTGTGTTATTCCAGTTATTGTACTTTTTTAGCACACTTACAAAGTCATCAGTCTGTTACTTAATAAATTGCTATGTATGGAATAACTATTTATAGAATAACGATACAGATAGTCCTCAGTATTTTGGTACTTATATGTCGACTGCCAAAATCTAACACGAAAAACGAGTCTAAGAAGCGGAGGGAAGTCATAAAAGCATAGAAAGTGGAATTGCGAACGAGGAGAAAGACGAGAAAAGAATAACATCTAGGGTGCGCTTGTGTGTAGGCCTATACGATAGCGGAAAAGAATGGAATGGAAAAGAACAAAACGGCAAATGGCGA